ATTAGACAAAGGTCACTTAGTGTTTTAATGAACAGTACTGTTAATTAATGAGAAAACAACTAGAACATGGGCTATTTGGCATTGTAGCGTCTTGCAAAAATCAATCAATTTTGACTTAATGCCACTTTAGGAAACACAAGAGTAATACAACTCACCAAGACTAGTTTGAAATCCCTAGAGACATGGAAAAGCTATTTCTAGAGTTTGTTAAATGAGGACTTTTGTATCTTTAATATCCAAAAGATAGGGTTAATGGCTGTATCATTGTTCTAGGAAGCAATAGACTTGAATATCATTCACATCTTTCTCACTGAATCTTGGTTTTATTAATTTCTGTCTTTTTTCCTTACTTCTTAACCAATGACAGGAAATATGTTCCTTATGGTATCTTATAAGAATTAATGAGGAAGCACATTTAGAGGTCTAATGTGGTATAGCACACAGAGCCCTAGAGTCAGTATGAAAAGGCCTCTGTCAAGGCTGCTTACTAGTCGTGTAAATTTCATCCATTCATTCACTTCTAATCCTGTTTTGTCATCTGTAAAATGGTGGTAATGATGTATCTAATGCTCCTCACCTCACAGAGTTGTGAGAATCAAATAGAATAATGTATATTAAACATTTTACTTGCAAAGCAGGATGTACATATTACTGTGGATGATAAGTATATTGTTGGTAGGATTTCAGTATTGATAGAAATGTAAATCACTGGACTTCTGAGAGCTACAGCAGGTGAGTAGCAAAAATGAGTCATAATATACTTTCTTTTCATTGAGCACTTTGCCTAAAGAGACATTGAATCTTATTTCACACGGCCTTTTTCTACCTTCTTGTGAAAAGAGTAAACATTTCTCTACAGGTAGAAACTAGGGAAGGAAGGGGCAGCTAGGTAGCACAATGGATAGAGGACCGAGCCTGGACTCAGGAAGTTGTTGTGGTTATTGGTGTTGTGTTGTTGTTGTTGTTGTTGTTGTTGTTGTCAGTTGTTTTCAGTCATATCCAACTCTCCGTGATACAGTTTGGGATCCCAGCTCTAACACCATGTGACCTTAGGTAAGTTAACAGCTTCTCTGTGCCTCATATCTCCATCTCTAAAGTGGGGAAGATAATAGTAATAATAATACATTTACATAGCACTCTGAAAATTATAAAGTACTCTATCTGTTATTATTACTAATAATATTATTGCCTTAATAATAAATAAACAGGTTTCACTACCAAAGAAAGATTTATAATAATACTTGACAATGAGCAACGAAATGAAGCATTGAATAGTCTCGGATACATAGTGTTTTGGGAACTATGAGCAAGTCCACTTAAACTCTCAGTGCTCTAGGCAAATGTCTAGGCTTTACCATTGTGCCTTTCCCTTCACTTGGGAGCCAATGGTAAAGTTTGCCCCTAGGGTATGCCAGGACATCTCAATATACTGGGCCCATACGCTACCCACGCCTGTAGAGACCACCATGTTTAATAGTTTCAGTAATCAGTGGAAGTAAGCAGCAAAACTGATGTATTGAACATCTAATTGCTAGCGATTTATGGAAGAACAAGGCAAGTCTCTATCAGCCTGTGATCTGTTTCTCTTAAAGGATCTAGACCTGGAAAGGATCTTAGAGATTACCTAACTCAGAGATTCTTAACCTGAGTCTACAGATAGATTTCATGTGGTCTATGAACTTGGATGGGAAAAAAAAATTACATCTTCATTTTCACTGACCACTAACTGAAATTTAGTATTTCCTTAAATTATTTTTATAATATTATTATCATAATGGGCCCATAGGCTTCACTACAATGCCAAAGGGGTCTGTGGCACACACAAACAAAGGTTAAGAGTCCCTGATATATCCTATCCTTGTCCCCTCATGCAGATTAAGAAACTGAAACCCAGAGGGTTAAATGTCTCATACAAGATTATGCAGCAAGTAAGTGGCAGAGAATGAATTTGAATCCAGGTCTTCTGACTCTACATACTGTTCTCTCTTCTATATCACACTTATTTCTGCTAGATAATAGTTAATAGAAAAGTAATGTGAAATATTACTCTCTAGTCTTCATGTGATGAAATTTCTACTGTGAAATCCATAATCTCAAATCTTTAGTCTTAAAAAAAAAGATACAAACAACATGTTTGGTTTTCGGAAGGATTACACTCAGGTTCTCTGTGGCTAAACTACTAACATGCCTCAGGACAGGTTTTACCTTTCTACAATACACAAAGTATCTCCCCTTGCTTATAGGCAAGATTTGAAAAATATGTCCTTTGTGTTTTTCTGTCCCCAGAGCCTCATGATACTAATAAGATTAATAGCCAAGTTCAGTCTATCACGTTAATTTTAGATTCTTTCATTTAATTGGTTCTTCTCAAAACTTCTCTTTACTAATTTTGTTGCCTTGGACAAGTCACTTAACTTGTCTGGGACTCAGTTTCTTCAACTTTTAAAAGAAGAGGTGGAATTTAATGGCTTCTAACCCTATGATCCTATGACCCTGTGACCACAAATGTAATTGAAGATTTTCTTATGCCATATATGTGCCAACAGCTTGACTTTTGGTACTATGTCTACCATCTCTCATCAGTAACTCAAGATGTTTTCCTTTTCACAATCAAGAGGGTATCCCCTGTGTGCCCTCTTCAGCATAAGGGAAGCATCAGGCTTGTCATTAATTCCATGTATTTATTCTCACTAATAATATTATTATTACTAGTGGTAGTAGTAGTAATAGTGGCAGTACTAGTAGTAGTCAAAGCAGTCATAACAATATAAGCAATAATAGTAGTAATAGTTATAATAATAGTAGATGAAGTAGTTAGTAGTTGTAGTTGAAATAACTATAATAATAGTAGTAATCAAAGTAGTTTTGTAATAGTAATTGAAGTAATTATAATAGGAGGAGTAGCAGTAGTTATAATAGTAGTAATAGTAGTAGTAGTCAAAGTAGTTCTAATAATAGTAGTCAAAGTAGTTAGTAATTGAAGTAGTTATAATAGTAGTAATGGTAATAGTCAAAGTAGTTATAGTAGTAGTAGTTAAAGCAGTTATAATAATAGTAGCAGTAATTGAAGTACTGGTAATAGTATTAGATGAAGTAGTTATAATGAAGTAGTAGTAGTAATCAGAGTAGTTATAATAGTAGTAGTAAGAGCAGTAGTAGTAGCAGCAGCATTTTTGTAGTACTTTGAGGTCAGCCAAACATATTGTATACATTATCTCATTTGATCGTTACAATAACTCTGTGAGATCAGTGCTCAATTAACCCCACTTTACAAATGGGGAAACTAAGACTGAGAGAGGTCAAAGGTGTAAGACAGCATTTGAACTCCAGTCTTTCTGACTCCCTCTATTGCCACTGCCACATAGGGAGGAAAGAATTGGGGTCACTCTGGTTTTTTGTTTAGTTTTAAGAGCCCTATGAAATAGCAAAGAACCAGTTTTGATCAACATGGCACTTGTTCCCTAGCTAATCAGTACAACAAGTTAATTATGTCATCCTTGACAGGGAAAAGCTTTTACCTTCCAGATGTAATTTTGGTCTTTTATTTTATGACAAGCCACTTAATGAGGCACTTCGAGTTTGCCTCTCCCCTGGGTTAACTCCAACTCTTCCTAAATGATGCCAGAGTCACAGATCCATAACCATGATGTTATCATGCCTCACAGAGGGGCAAGATAACACAACAAGCTAACTTGCCAATGCGCACCAAGTTCTTGGGATTCAATTTCTTCTTTTATGCAAGAGATGTGTGCTACAAATGAATATCCACACTCCCGTGGTCTGCTGTTTTGTAAAAATGTAATTAAATTATAAGGAAAGGGATTGAACCATGGTTTCATTGATATAGGGAACTCTCAGGTGAGAAATTCCTCTACCAGGGCAGAGTGGCACTTTCTCTGCAAAGTAGAGTCGTAGAGAATTAACTAAAGCAAGGAGAAGTTAAGTTATTTCCTCAGGGTCACATAGCCAGTATGTGACAGAGGCAAGGCTTGAACCCAGGCCTGTCCAGCTCCTAGGCCAGCATCATGCTGTCTCATTTAAAACTTAAAAAAAAAAAAAAGGAACAAAATTAATGTGTAAATGTTTGCTTCCCTACTAAGCAGGTCAGCCTCACAGGCTTGAGAATTCTCTCTCTCTCTCTCTCTCTCTCTCTCTCTCTCTCTCTCTCTCTCTCTCTCTCTCCCCTTCTCTCTCTTTCTCTTTCTCTCTTATTGAAATGAAAATGTTTTCTACCCAATATATACACTTGAAATTAGGTTCCCTGTTTTAAATTCAAACATTCTACATTACTAGGTAGTTAACATAAAGCCAACTACTCCTCCATATGGATTGGACAGGATATGACAGTTATTCAGCCTACATATCTGGAATTGGATCAGAGCCCTAAAATGTAAAGGCTTGAAGAGGAATCACAGAGGAATAATATTTTGCTGCATGTATGTTGTTCAGTCATGTCCAATCTCTCATGACCCCATTTAGGGATTTCTTAGCAGAGATACTGGAGTGGTTTGCCATTTTCTTCTCCAGTCAATCTAGTGGATGTATTTTGTCAGGCAATCAGAGGTTAAGTGACTTGCCCAGGGTCACATAGCTAGGAAGTATCTGAGGCTGGATTTGAACTCAGGTCTTCCTGACTCCAGGCCCAGTGTTCTATCCACTGAGCCACCAGCTGCCATGTATGTGCAAGGATCTTATTTTGTTGTAGTCTGACTCAGAAAAGAGGAATAAAAGCATCATGATACAGTAGGAAAAGTCTTGGCGTGATGTAATAGAAAAAGTCAGAGCTCCTGGATTTGAATACCATTAGTTTCCTTGAGACCTTGGGTAAGTCATCGCCCCACTCTGGGCCTCAGTTTGAGAAGTTTGGACTAGATGACCTCCAAGGTCCAATGAAAACTGAGAGTTTCAGGTAATGACTGTAAGTATTCAGAGCTACCCAAAAGCTAACTAGTTTCCTCTGAAATGCCTACCACAAACATATATTCATTTGTCCTTTATAGGAGTTTGTGATGATTGTCGTCTTTGGTTTGGAGTTCATCATCCGTATCTGGTCAGCTGGCTGCTGCTGTCGCTACAGAGGATGGCAAGGAAGACTGCGATTTGCCAGAAAACCATTCTGTGTTATAGGTGAGCATCAAAGCAATGATACAGACCAGCAATGGTAACACCAAGTTCTTTTCTGGGTCTCCCATATTGATGCAGGTGAAATTGATTCAGTGCTTCAGGGCTAATCTGAACTAAGCATTGATTTCAACATGCACCAACATTCCCCATTACTATGATAAATGACACAGTACCCTAATTGAGATTATCTGGAATAGATAAATGTCTCACTGCCATAAAAATGCCCATCAATGAGCACCATGGAAATATTGCATTCACTGACACAAAAGAACATGTTCATGATCGGTTAGCTCGCTTGGACTTTTTTAAAGATACACAGAGCTAGAGAGGAGTTATCAGTTTCTAGATGACCCTAAGTAAAAGGTCATAATTACTTTCACATAGTCCCTCACCAATCAACCCTGCTAGTCCGGAAACCTAAAATGTGAGGACCTGTACCAAAAGTCACAGTACACAGTTCTATTGTTAAAGATCTTTGAGAAATATGGAACGGGGGTTTTAACAGCATGTCTAGGCAAGGAAGACTTGATTTAAAGTCATCCCAGACTTTTGCTCTGGAGCTACTCTCCTAACACTCACACTGGCAGAGTAGGTCCCCAAAGGCAACTACTACATCTCCTCTCAGGGCACTAAGGATATCCCTTAGAGGAGTTGGGGAGATGGAAAGAATGTCTTTCTAATACTATAGCTCACAAGCCCCCACCAGTGTATCTCACATTATTATTTGACATCAATTAGTGAGTTAGACTTAATTACGTTTTAGTGTTTTCTGAACTCTGGGGACAAGTCCTGTGGATTTTCTCAGACTCAGCTGATACAACCAAGCCTGGGCAAGATGTAATGGCTTCTGTCTTCTACTTACTAACACAGACAGATTCAAGGAATGTCCAGCAGAAGTATTATTTGTCTTACCCTACTTCTATTTTGGGGGCTGATAGGTAAGGCTGGAGGCAGGAAGGTTCATCTTCCTAATTCAAATCTGGCTTCAAACTCTTACTAGCTGGGTCACCCTGAGCAAGTCACTTAACCTTGTTTGCTTCAGTTTCCTCATCTGTAAAATGAGCTAGAGAAAGAAATGGCAAACCACTCCAGTATCTTTGCCAAGAAAACCCCAAATGGAATCATGAAGAGTCAGACACAACTGAAATGACTGAATAACAACAGTTCTATTTCAGACTTTAAGAAGGTCTGTGTACAATGTGAGCTGTGCTTCCTCAATGTAAGCAGACTAACACTGAATCTGCATCCAGCTAGGATGCTCTGAATCCTTTCTACTTGGATACCAGCATAAAGTGGCATAATATTAGATGCTGTTAATAATGATACAAATAGAATTTTTAACAAGCATGGCTCCCACACTAACAATGAACTTAGGACAAGTATCCTATCACCCACATCATTTACCAAAGACGGAGTTCTCCCTCATTCTCTGTGATCTTTCCCTATCTTAATTTTTAGACTGAAGTTCAAACCAAAATGGAATGTGGGGACTGCAACGTTGTTTAGCCCTCTTCTTCGTTGTTACCATAGTTGATGCTTCCCTTTTTTTTTCAGTATGAAGTATCAAGGGTCACATGACCCCTAACTCCAAGATTCTCATGACCTAGAACACAGGGACATTATGAGATCTTAGATCTAGCAGAAGAGACCTCAAAGATCGTCTAGTTCAATACTCTAATTTTATTGATGAAGAAAGGAGGAAAGGAACAAGTATTTTTAAGAACCTACTATGTGGGGGGGAAACTACTATGTGCCAAGGACTGTGCTAAGTGCTTTACAAATATCTCATTTTTTTTCATTACAGCAATCCTATGAAGTAGGTGCTGTAATTATCCTCATTTTACAGTTGAAGAAACTGAGGCAAACAGAGATTAAATGACATGCCCAGTATCACATAGCTAACAAGTGTCTGAGGCCAGAGTTTAACTCAAGACTTCTTGACTCCAGGCCTAGCACTCCATTTGCTGTACCACCAAAATGCCTGTGATGAGTAAACTGAGGCCCAATGGAAATTAAGTGATTTGCCCAAAGTCATGCAGATAGTCTTCAGAAGGTGTTTTCAGGCATGCAAGTGTCACTAACTTGTCACTTCCAGTCCTATTCATGAATTCTGTGCCTTAAAATCTTCACAAGCCACTACATGAGATTCTCCCCAGGTATGTGCACAACAGAAAAAGACTCAGACTAATATAGGGGAAACCACTTGGGAGCTAGACTCCTTGGGGCTGTACTGCTTTGTCACCCAGAGATCACTCTTGGCTTTCTCCCTCTCCCTCCTGATGACACATTCAGTTCTACAGGAAAATAGCCAGCAGAACACTAGGCTATCTTTGGTCTTAGAAGCTGGCTCCAGGAAGTCCCAGAAGATGAGAGATTCTTGCCAAGGGTCACACTTGTCTAGTAAGTAGCTGAGGCAGAATTTTAGCTCAGGTCCTGCTGACTCTAAGACCAGTGCGCTATCCATTAGCCCATGTCACCATCACTGATTTAGAACTGTTGTCATTGTTTGTCAAAGGCTGGAACGGACCGCAAAGGTCATCTAACCCAACTTACCCATTTCATAGATGAGGAAACTGAGACCAAGAGAGGAAAAGTAATTAGCCCAAAGTCACACAAGTAGCAAGTAGCAGAGCAGGGATTCCAACCTAGATTTTCTAACTACAGATCCAGTATTCTTCCCAATAAAGCCATGAAGCCTTCCCAAAATGAAATCCTATTTAGTTATATGAATTGCCCTTATCATTAACAATAAGAATAACTCATGTTTCTTTAGAAATCCTTTAATGTTTACAAATTGGCTGCCCCACAGTATTTCTGTAAGGCAAAGATGATCAATAATTTTATAGAAGATAAACTTGGAAGACTTTGTTATGATTAAAGACCATGGTATACTGGAAAGAACACTGGAATGGGAGTCTGGAAAGTGGGTTCAAATCCTAGCTAGATCTAACCCCTGTGTGATCACAAGCAACTCACTTCCCATTTCAGGGCCTCCATCTGAAAAATAAAGAGGGTTGGCCTAAGGGATCTCTAAGATACCTTTACAATGCTAACATTCTGTGATTTATTCGCACTGACCATCTCTTTTCATTATCTGGCTGCTTTGATATACAAGTACAGGCTTTTTTTTTTCACGGAATGTTTTATTAAGTTGGGTCTTTCATGTCAAGATTCAGCATTATTTTTTCAAACTTGGGGGGAAAAAGATAAACCTCAAAGTGAATTGTAAATGACCACAGTCCTCAGATGCCTCTCTGGGGCTGGATCCAGGCTACTGCTATTTATTTCTCTAAATATCTCTTCTCTCAGAGGATGTGATTCTTTTTGTTGTCAGAGTTGTTATGCTACCTTACAGGCAATGAGGTGGGTGTGGGAATCCTTGATTTTCAGGTCTAGCCCACCCAGAAGTGTGTAAGTGAAGAGACTTGATATTACTCAGACTTGCTTGTTTCACTCTCTACCTTCCCAGCCAGAGTAAGCTGCCTCATAGGGCATGGTAACCTGATCCCAGACGGCCTCACAAAAAAGTACTTCATATTCCCCAGGAGACCAAAACTAACCAATCCAGATAACAGATGGGCAGCCAAAATTCACTCAACTTTTACAGTATGAGAAAGGTTTTGTAGATGATTACAGGAATCTCCCACTCCAGATTTTAAAACCAATTTAAAATTGGTTTCTCTCCAATACCAGAGGTTGGGGCAGCATTTATTCTGGCATGGGAGCTAGGAAGAAAATTCCATCTATAAGAGCCTGCTACCTTTTGATAACTGCTTCTAGTCTGCGGATGCATCTGCTGCCCTGAGTCCTTGAATCCCTTCTCTTCCTGCCTCAGTTACCTATGTTTCTTTATGTAGAAAGCTATGATTTAATTCAGTTCAAAGTACAGTATTGTCTGGTCTTTTCAGTCATTGGTTTTATTCCCACTTAAATTAATTGTTTTGCAAAAGGAGTTAATATCCTCAAAGTGAAGCCCTGTGATAACTGGTTCGGGGGACAGGACTGGTATTTGGGTTTGGGATGACTGTTACTTCTAGCTTATACTGCATGGACTTGTTATGATTTCATCAAATGAGATAATATTTGTAAAGCGTTTAGCAAAGTGCCTGGTACATAGTAGACACTATATTAATGCTTGTGCCCTACCTCCCTTATCTGGGGTCTAACTAAATCTGTGCAATAATGAGCTATGTGATAATGGAGGCTCATGTGGTAGTGGCATAGCCTGTCATGAAAGGAATTTGATTATAGTAATAAAACAGTACATGGCACAGGGCTAGAGCCCTGTGCTGGAAATCATGAAGACTCATCTTCATGAGTTCAACTCTGGCCTCAGATATTTACTAGCTATGTGACCCTGGGCAAGTCACTTAACCCTGTTTGCCTTAGTTTCCTCATCTGTAAAATGAGTTGGAGAAAGAAATGGCAAATCACTCTAGTATCTTTGCCAAGAAAGCCCCAAATGGGGTCACAAAGAGTCAAACATGACTGAAAACAACTGAACAAAAACAAAATGAAGTATTGTTGCTGTTCGTTCTCACAGAGAACCAGTGATGTCAGGGGCATGACATCTTGACTTGCAAGTGAACTGGATTTAAGTGAGGCTGGGCTGTGCAGCCTCACTCTCTCCTCCAGAGTCATGAGGTTCAGTGGCAAGACTTAGGTCAGTACAATGGCAATGACCCCAGGTTCTATGGGAGACCCTAGCCTTTTTAAGCTAAGGTCTTTCATAGTTCTCAGTTTGTCTGAGGCAGCACTCATTCAATGATTAAAGTCTAGGCAAGAATTGAGGCAAAAGATGGCCTGCTCTGACTTCACTAAAGAATCAGTCTAGGAGGGGGAGACCCTCAGAGTTTCTGGTCAGAACAGAAATGATTGCTATTTACACTCATTCTTAGCCATCAAAACCCAAACAATGAGCAAATGAGGCTGAGGTTGGGACCTATTATTGGCCAATCAGTGAGAGTCAGAATGATTTGGGTTTAAAGACATAGTCTAGTAGC